GTTTTGTATGGTCCTTTTTTTTCTTCGTTTTTTCGTTTCGTTGTTTCGTTTCGTTTTTTTTTTTGTTTTTTCTTCCGTCTGCATCGCAGAAGACCCCATTTTTCTCTCTCTTTCCTTTTTTCACTATTTCGGCGATTCCCGTGGGGTGTGTCATTAGGTCCGCTTTGGGGCACTACGTCTCTTCATGGGGCATTACGGTCCCTCTGTGTCCGCCGCCACGCCCCTTCCACCACGCCCCTCGGGGCACTACCAGGCAAGGTGTGTCATTGAGGTCCGCTTTGGGGCACTACGTCCCACTCTGTTATTATGTTCGCCGCCACACGTCATGCCCTCTCATATCCTATATAGCGCCGCCCTGGTTGCTCCGTCCTACTTCTCTTTAAAAAATTTCATTTTCGCCCCCACACCCTCCTTTCACGCGCCCTCAGGGAACACGGTGGGAGTCAATGCGCATGAAGAGACGCAGTGCCCGCGCGACTATATGCACACCCTGCCAGAATGCTCGGGGTGGGCCGGAGATGTCGTAGAAAAATTTTGGGGAAGAAATGAAATTTTAAAGAGAAGTAGGCGGAGCCAGGGGCGGGGCTTATAGGATATGAAAGAGGGTGTGGCGGCGAACATAATAACAGAGTGGGACGTAGTGCTCTGGAACCGTTTTACAGACCTTTTTGTCTGGCTCCGCCCACCTCGCAGCAGGCTCCGCCCACAATGTTTTTGCCCCACAATCCTCACCGGCGACCCTCTGCTGACCTTAGACCACTTTTTTCCGGTGTCTGGAGTGTTCTGGAACCGAGCTACAAACTTTTGAAATGATTACCCTGCGATTAAGGGCAAGCTCCGCCACTGTGGGCGGGTCTAAACACACTTTGAGCGTGCCCTATATTCGCCAGATATTTCCATTCTACACTGAGTTTTTTGCGACTTCCAAACACTCTCGCGAAGAGAGTTACTGAATTTTGCGAGAAGCACCGCCCACCATGAGTACGCCTCGCATATTTTGGACGTGTCTTCGACAGTTAGTCTGGCGACTCCTTACTAATTAATCTCTTTTTTCCCCATCTTTACGCTGCTTCCGAAGCGAATTATGATTACTTTTTCTGCGGAGCCCCAAACCTTCGACGAGTGCTCCGCCCACTGTGGGCGGGGCTTCCATAGGTCAAGTGTGCTTTTTATTTCTTGTCCCATTCCCTACCCATCCCCACCTTGGCCCGACCTCTCCAAGTCGTTCGTCAGGTCGAACCGAATTTCCGGATAGACAAACTTACAAACAAACAAACAAACAACAAACAACAAACAAAACAACAACAAACAAACACGAAGCGAATTATATATATATGGGGTGATATGGGGTGATTTTCATACCTTATCACAATGTTGACGCTTTCGAAACACTCTTCCTATATTGCTCACAGACAAGCAATTGCACAAAGGTGCATAAGGCTCCGCCCACTTAGTTCCGCCCACTTTAGATCGATTTTCGCGATTTCTAGCAATATCTTATTTCACCATTTATCCATATTTTATTTCCACTATCCATATTTTTATCACTTGTTCGCCATCTCAAGATTACCAAACGGCGTTAATACTGAGAAGGGAATGATACATTCGTGACCAGGATGCCAAATAACCCAGGTGTTCGAGTTTGTACCCAATTCGGTGCCAAGAAGATCGCTGGCGCCAAAGTGGCCCGCGCCCCTGGCGCCAACTTTGGAAGGCAACGATACATTTGGCAAGGATGTCAAATAACCTAGGTATAGAGAATTCTATCAAATTCGGTGTCAAAAAGAGTGCTAGCGCCAAGGTGGCACCTACTGGCGCATATGGGGCCAATGACAAATGAGGTCTCACGTTCATGATCAAAGACCCGCGCAGTCCCTGCAGCCAAGGTTTCGTCCAAAAAGAACTATTTTGGAGGTTTCTGCCGCAGCAGTAGCTAGTTGAAAAATTTCAATTTTTAATTCAAAATATCTCATGGGGCAGCAACATTTTTCTTGCTCATCCTTGTTGGAAACTCACCTTCCACGATTATTCGAAAGCAAGAAAAAGATCGATTGAGACTGCCGACAATTACCCAGAAAGTGATGGAGAAAGTCATGAGCCACCGGCTGGCTCAGATTTTCCTTCGTGGCTACTCAGTCATGAGCCACCGGTGGCTCAGAATGTCGTCAACGTTCTAAGCGACGCGCGCCTCAGTCCGTCCTTGGTTCGTGAGGAACTGCTGTTCAAGGTTTGGAGACCAATCGGAACATTGGCGAGTACAGAAATATATGAAATGTTTGACTGCATAAATGTTTACAGTGTTTTAGATATGTGTGGTTATGAGTTGAATGGGTGAGGACGGTTTCCTCGCATCATCTGCGCTCTCTGAGAGTGTGGGTGGTCTACTAGCGCCCCAAGCTTGCGGCTTTGGCGGCTGCTCGGCCACTGTAGCCTACTCAAGTGATTATTGTATGCCTCGTAGATCGACTGGACTTTGTGCCGTATCTCTTACAACTATGTTGTTGGTGATGGAGGGGGCTGTCGAATAAAACTTGAAGGATTAAGGGCCAGCGACCTGAATAACGGGCAGAGATTTTATGAAGGAAATCGGTGTGTCCGTCACTCCAGAGGATGACGCGAGGAGACAACTCCATGAACCACCACACGTAACCTGAAGCTTCGAATCAACGAGCAGGTTCTAGTCATATATGGGTTTCTATAAAAAAAGTTAGCGAGAACTACACTGCAGCAGGAAAACAAAAAAATCAGATCGGCGTTTTTTTTCCGTTATTTGGACACTAACCGAAGACTATAAAACGGCTACTAGAACTGTGAATCGAACTAATGGTGGTTGGGGCGGCATACACTTGCGGTCAGTAGTATTCACCGTAACGATTGCTCGAACTTAACCAACACTCACCTGGAATTATGATATGTTGTAGAGATCCATGTTGTGTGTGGTGTTCGTAATTTTTAACAACGACTAATGTAGGTCCTTTGGCTGCATAGATACTGTAATACTCGCGACGAGTTTCGCGCCATCACATTTGAGTGACAGTACTAATTTTCTGCTCCTTTCAGCAATTTGGTAGAAGGCCTGGGCGCAGTTCGGCGACCGATGGGGGTATTTTGCACTTCAGCTGCTTCACTAGTTCCGGTTTACAAGCTCCTCAGATGAAACCTGTGAATTTTTGTAAACTGGAGCAAGCTCGTGAGCAACATGGTATAACCTGTCAGCTCGAGGGAAGGCTCTAGGTTGGTCGACACGCCGACGTGAAGTAGTAAAAGTGCAAAAGTTCAGAGAAGGAAAAGTCCAAGTAGTCGTTATCTGTCATCTACTTAATTATGGGAACAGCGAATTGTTCGCCGGCCAAAGCGACTCTTACTTCCCCAGTCACCGAACTGTGCCTAAAGCCTGAACCTCGGTCAAAAAAAAGCTGAACATAGAAGAACATGCATATGCCCTTTCCAACTAGCCTGAATGTGTCGGTACGCACAGTGTCGTCGAGTCTCGATGTGCTCGAGGCAACAAGATTATAGTCAACAAGTCCGTAGACTTAGTGAGCACCTTTTCGCCAGGATATGTATGCGCATATGCTTTCGCTCGCAGGCCGATCCCAACATTTTCCACTTCGTTGAAACGTTCGAATTCAGTGTCGGCAATTGGACGGTAGTTGCAAGGAACAAATGAGAGCGAAAAAATCGCTATTTGCTTGTATTAGGTTGGCTAATAAGTAATGGCCGTTTTTTTCAATTGAAAAATTTGTTCGAAAAGTGAAACGTTTTGCAAGCAAGTTATATATCATCTGATAGGAAACTTCTCGTAGTATAAGAATATCAAAAAAGCTTTGGTTGAGGATATATAACTTGCTTGCAAAATTTTCACTTTTCGAACAAATTTTCCAATTGAAAAAAACGGCCATTACTTA